CCGCCCTCCCCTGTGAGTGTAATGGCGCCATGCAACCCCGGGGCGGGGGGGGGGGGGGGAATGCCACTGTCTTCACGCGACAGATTCCCAGACTGGATAAGGTCACAATGGCTCCTTTGAGGCCCAGGCTGTACACCTGTGATGCCATATGAACTACAAGGGAGACAAAAGCAGGCAAAAGAAAGAGCCTTTTGAGATGGGGGAAAAAGAGGCCAGTCCTCTGGGGGGTTGGCTCACTCATATTTGCTGTGTAAGGCAGGCACTGGCCAGCCCTGCGAAGATATCTTTCCCGCCTTCCGCATTTAATTAGCAACCATTTGCACTTATCTTGCATCTCCCACTCAGTCACCTCAAACTGGTCAGTATCATTTTTGAGCAGGAAGACAGGCAGGGAGACACTGTCACGGGCCACAGAGATTTTCTCATCTGCTCATCGCAGAGAGCCAAGAATGAAGCAACGGATAAAGGTTACCTACATCCTACGTGGCTCTCTCCAGTCTGCAATCCCCATGTGATCTGGTGACATGCTTGATGTGCTGGGTACATTGCCCAGAGATCTGATTAATAATTAATAAACAAGGCACACTGGGAATTGTGGAAGAATGAAGTTCTTTGGCTCGTCCCCCAGCAGGGGTGCTTGGTGGCCTCCATTGGTGGGTTCTGTAAGAGTCCTGGGTTCTCAGGGAAAGCTCCTTTTCCTGAGCTGAGTTCATACACTCCATGACCCTCTAAGACCTCGAGTTCATACACTCCATGATGCCCACTTGCTCCCTGTGCCTCTTCTGGCTTCCCTGCCTCAAAGTCATCTTGCCCGCCCACCATTTAGGTCCACTTGCACTTCAGAACAGTCATTTTAAATAGAAAGGAATTAGAGACTTAGGGGGAACGTCTGGAAGTTTCTACCCAGAGCTGGCAAAGAAACCCTCTCTCTACCTTCCCAGTCCCCTGATTTCTCTCAATCAAGACTACCAGTAAGCTTGTAAGCCTTAGAATATTCTACAGCTGCTGACATCAGCAAACTTGCTTGAAGGGAGCTGCAGAATCTGTTGCTGAGTTTGCTGAGGACGAACCTTACTGATCCAGAGAACAAGACTGGGCCACAGCAGGGGACCGGGTCTCTGTCTGCAGCTGCTTCGGTCTCTCTGACAGAAACAGATATGACCATGCTGCCCCTGCCTGGCGGGCTGCTGCTGATACTGGTCAAGAGCGAATGGGACCTTGGTGAAATTTTGTCTCCAGGGCCCCCGATTTCTGGCCGCAGCACTGCTCCCTGGAATCTGCTAGAGCAGCCCCCGGTGAGCAGGCGGTCCAACGTCTACCAGTTTCACAGAGTGGTCAGAGCTGGAGAGAGAGGGTTCGGTCTCATACCCAGTTCCGTGGCTGCAGTATCATGCTGAGAAGGGGGTTACGGCCTCACCTTGTCTTGGCAGGAAGGAGTGATGCTTGGGGAGAATGGGGTAGACCGGTGTATAGGCTCTGAGGGATACAGAAAACGGAGCTGTGAAATAGATGCGGGGGGAGGAAGAGACAGCATGCAGGGCCGTCTCTGCCACTGCTGCCCTTGGTCAACCCCTTTATTTTATCAAAGAGTAACTGAAAAGAATGTGGAGCCTGGAATGATTGGCGGAGTGGGGACTAGAAGTCAGGCCAGTGCCCTTGCGGGTGGGTCCCCATTGACACACCCTGAGCCACAGATTAACCTTATGGCATCTCTGCTTTCCCTTCTCTAAAGTGCGGATCCTTCCCACCCCATCCAGAGTGGGAGAGGCCTGCAGCAGCAGCTGCTGGGAGGGCCAGACAACCATGATAACTTGGGGTTGCACGGGGGGTAGGGGGCAGCTTTCCTCCCACACGCTGGACACAGGGGGGCTCCTGTCTGCTGTGCGGTACCTCAGAGCTCTGCCTGCCAGGTCTCTCCCTCAGGGGCCCTCAGTTCTAGTCTAGTGTGAAGTCCAGAGGGAAGGTAATGTGCGAGTGTGACAACACGTGGAATCCAGGGTGGGTCTGAGTCCTGTGATCTCAAGCTAGTCCCCTCTGAGTCTGCTGCAGCAGACACCTCCCTCAGGGACCACATACTGAGTGTACTGCAGGCACTCAATAAATATCGGCAGTCACACACAATAGGTTTCCTCTTCCCTCTGGGCTTTTATGTATCCAGGGTCCTCTGCATGGAACATTTCTACACTCTTCCTTGAGTTTTGCCCCCATGATCTTCTGGGGCACTCAACCTAAGCTTTGTGTCTTCCGAGAAAGCATTCTCTGACTATCCTGAGGGGGTTAGGTACCCCTCTTCTGGGTGTCCACAGCAGTCTAAACATAACCCGATCCCGCATTTGCCCCACTGGGCTATGGTCACCCATTTCCTGGGCCAGAGCGTGAGCTTCTTAAGGACCAAGAACAGAGATGATTCGTCTCTGCATCCCCAGGCCTGCCTCACAGGCAGCAGGCCTCGAAGAATAACTCCTGGCTAACTGACTACAGCAACGAGTTCGACTTCCCCCTCTTTCATTCATGACCACAACAAAAGGCTCCAGGAGACAAACAGGTAAAATCTCAATTCTCAAGAAAATGGCAAACCAAAATAGCTACTCTTTTTTCAAAGTAGTTTAATTCTGGCTTAAAAACCAAGTCACCTGCATAGAGATTTGTTGTACACATGGACATCAATTGTAAAAAGAAATCTGAGAGTAAACAGTGTCCGACCCTGAGAACTCCCCACCCATGTAGCCTGGGTCCTCACTGCCTGCTCCCCCAAAGCCCATATGTCTAACACAGAATGGGTTTGTCCAGGGCTTCACAGCTGCACTGATTTTGTGCTGGCAGCAGGCTGGGGAGGAAGCTGCAAACAACCAGGATGCAAAAGGAGGGCACACAGAGAGTAACACTCTACCATCTTCCCTAGGTTGGGGCTGCCCTTCCTATGAAGGGTGGACACTTGGGGTCACCTGGATAACTTCACCTTCTCTTCTGACCTATCTTTTCCCCAATTTTATAGGCTATCTCATTTTCAAAAAACATTTGAGATGACTGCCATTATTTTTTTTCAGGTCCTATATCGGGGACTCTTCTTAAAGAAGGGACATCCTAGTTGTATGATGTGGGGCATGTGACTTTTATGCTTCTTGAGCTCAGTTCCCTTATCTGTAAAATGGGGATAATCGTGACCAAACTGGATTTTTGTGATTTTGTATTTCCATCATGTATGTGGAGGACTTGGCCTAACACCTGCCACATAGTAGGTGCACAGTAAATGAAAGATGTTTTCACCGTAAGACCTAGAGAATGGCAGACTTTGAGGACCAAAATGAAAGACAACATTGGCATTTCCGGTAACTATCGATAGAGAATCCAGAGCTCTGCACAAGGGGCCATGGCCACGGGGGACCTCTGAAATTCCTAGAGTTTGTAATTCTCCCAACTTTGTCATTTTCTCCTGTGGTCTTACTTCACATCATTTGATCATCTGAATGAAAGAGGCCCAAGTGCTTATTTAGGGGAGTCCGTTTTGGGGGAAAGAGAAAAAAACTCTAGGAGACCGAGGAATAAGGTTTAGTAGAGAGACCAGATGGAATGTTTGGGGCCAACAGGAATGAAAAGGACATTTAGATTCAGAGGTCCCTGGCGGTCTCATTCAGAGGAATTCTGTGACCCCTCAGAGCCAAGCAGACTGTTGCTCATTCCCTCCCTGCTGCTCCCAGAGCTCTGGCTCACGCACGGTGCAAGCATCACAAGCATCACAAACTACAGTTTGGGGAACACTCTGCTCAGACTCTGGGTGGTTCCGTGACCCTCCCTGGTGTAACCTGACCAACACACCCAGTCACTGGGATATTTAAAGGATACCTGATTCTTTCTGTGATAGTGTGGTTACCTTAAACCTCCAAGGACATGACTACAAAGAAGAGAATCCCAGCCTCTGGCCTCCATCCATACACAAACAAGTCAAGTTGCCTGAATCTGGGTCAGAAGGGAAAAGCCACTTTTCTGGGGCAGATGGAGAGTTAATGCCTGATGGTCTGTATCCACAAGGGCAACGGTTCTCAGCCCTGGCCGCGGTATCAGAATCACTTGGGGAGCTTTAAATAACACATGTTTAGTGCCATCCTAGACCCACGGAATACCTCAGGGCAGGTGCCTGGGAATATGGAGTCAATGTGCCACAGGGAGGAAGGCTGCATAATGCTTCGTCAAATTATCAGGTCTTGAACTTCTGGGAAATCATCAGGGTTCCACAGGGAGACAAGAGCTCTTTTTTCCCTAAGTGGCATCTGCTACCAGACCAGTCTGTTCCAGATTCTCTGGCACCCCAAGCGGAAGGAATCAGTCAGGAGGCAACTGCACTCAGCTCCCTAACCCTCCCTGGCCTCTGCAAAGGGTCCCACCCTCATCACCAGAGAACTCTAAAAAATACACTTCTTGGGCGCCTGGGTGGCTCGGTCAGTTAAGCGTCTGACTTCATCTCGGCTCATGATCTCCCAGCTTGTGGGTTTGAGCCCCGCGTCAGGCTCTCTGCTGTCAGCACAGAGCCTGCTTTGGATCCCCCGTCCCTACCCCCACCCCCTCGGCCCCTCCCCTGCTCACTCTTGCATGCACTTTCTCTCAAAAATAAACATTAAAAAAACAACAAAAAATACATTTCTTATAGACATTAGATTCATAATTAACTAACATTTTTGGAGCACTTGTTTGGTGGCAGTTCCTGTACCAGACACAGAAGTTACAAGCCTGTGAAAGAGGCATGTCACTCCGTTTGGGGTGCATCCCCGGAAAACTAATGTTCATTAGAGCTCTACCAACTCATTATAGCACAGTCCCCAGAGACTCGTCTTCCTGACATGGTGATCATTACTTCCAATTAACACATAAGTTGAGGACTACTGACTGATGTGTCATCTCAGTATTCTAACGGTGGATGTGGCTGGGCTGAGTATATGACCTTAAATTTAACTGAGGCTTATCTCCTCCAGTTGTCAAAACATCTGGCTTGAATTTTTTAAAGTAAAAATTTGGAATGCTTCATGAATTTGCATGTCACCCGTGAGCAAGGACCATGCTAATCTTCTCTGTATCATTCTATTTGTAGCATATGTGCTGCTGAAGTGAGCACTCTAGCTTGTATTTTAACCCTAATAATAACTCCATGTTTGCCTATTCTTTGGGAAACAATCAAACCATTTGCTGGGTATCAGAGAGTTGTAAACAAGGGACCTTAGGAGAGTATGCAGGGGCTTTTGGTGGACAGCCTTGGTTTGATCTCAGCTATTTAGCACTATTAGTTATACTTGTACTGTCTCCACTTTTAAAGATGAGGAAACTGAGGCTCACGGAACTTCACTAACCTGCTAAACACATAGGGTGGGGTAAGGGTTTGACTCCAGGTCTGATTCCCAGACCAGCGCTTTTTCCTTAGCTCCACTACAGTGACCCCACTAGCCCTTCTGGGTGGTTATAGCCACTTATGTGCATAGTTACAGTGGCTGACAATTCACATGCTGTTTTTATCAGCATGTGATAAAAACATGCTGTGCAAAAATCATGGATGAAGAGCCAACAAAATTTTAGGAGAACACAAACATGAAAGTAATGAGAGCTCAGAGGGGCTGGGTCTAAGATCAAAGAGCTACTGAGAGGTGGAGTCTATATTTGACCTTAGAGTCTGCAAGGCTCCAAAACAGGACCTCTAATCAAAGGAGGTAGGAGTCATAAGCCATGGGTTCCTATCCCTATCCTTATTAGCTGTATCAGTTTGGACAAGTCCCCTGCCTTCTATAAACTGAAAATGGTCTCCTACCTACTTTCTGGGAAGTGGAAGATTAGAATGGACATAAAGCATTCAGAAAATACTCTCCAAAAAAATAATAGAGCCCAGGAACTCAAGTCAACCAGTCAGTAAGAAATGGGTTTAAGTTTCAACTCTGCCACTTACTGGCTGTGTGACCCTGGCCAAGTGATTTTTACCTCTTTTACACCTCAGTTTTCTCACGGGAAAATGGAGCTCAATCAAGGACCTACCCCAAAAGTGACGGTCAAATGAGAGCGTCCGTTTGGACACAACCATTATGTGACTGACACATAATACTCGATCAGTAAAAGTCACTGCGGGATAAATACAGAAAATGTAATATACACATGTATAATGGCCTGTATATACATAAAGTAGTGGGATAACAGCTACATAATAATGTCACATATCAGTTATATGGAACAATGGAATATTTAGCCATAAAAAAGAATGGAATCTTGCTGCACACCATGGTTGGATGCTGAGGGCATTATGCTAAATGAAATAAGACAGAGAAAGACCATGACTGTATGATCCCACTTCCATGTGGAATCTAAACAAACAAACACCAATCTCACTGGTGCTTAGGGTGTGTGTGTGTGTGTGTGTGTGTGTGTGTGTGTGTGTAGGAGCCAAATGGGCGAAGGGGGTCAAAAGGTACAAACGTCCTGTTATAAAATAAGTCACGGGGATGTGCTTTATAGCTTGGCCACAGGTAGTGATACTGTACTGCATGTCTGAGAGTTGCTAGGAGAGTAGATCTAGAAAGTTCTCTAAATAAACAAATAAAGAAATAAAAGAAAGTTCTTATCCCAAGGAAAAAAATTCTGTCTCTATGTAAGGTGACATGTTAAGGTGACTCACTGGGCAATCATTTGGCAATACATACAAATATCGAATCATCACGTTGTACACCCAAATCTAAAATAATATTGTATGTCAATTGCACTTCAAAAAAAAAAGTTAGCCACTATCACCGTTCTAATTGTGCCTCTCCGGCCTTCAACTACCTGGACGCACCGACTTTCTGAGCTACCCATCGCGCTCTGGGCTTCGGGTTGGGTCCCGTCATTCTCTGCCGTCTTCCTCAGATCCGATCCCTCCTTTCTCCGTGCCCCCCTCTCCACAGCGCGTCTTCACCCCCTCCAGGAACCCCGGTCCCCTTGCCCCGTTTCGGCGCCGTCTCTTACTCGACGACCTTGGCTGGGTCCCCGTGGTGCTCATAGACCAGCGCCCGGACCCCGGTGGGCTCGGCAGATGCAGAGTAGGGGGCGGCGGCATACCAGCCGCGGCCGGGAGCGACGAGGACCTCGCGCCCAAGCCGCGAGCCGGTTCGCGCCCCCAACAGCGCGCCGCAGCCCCACATGCTCCCTTCAGTCAACTCTGAGGCGGACAGCGCGCCTACGTCATCTGCCTGCGCCCGCGCGCCTGCGCCCCGCCCCGCCCCTCAGCGTGACCACGCCCCTTGCTCTTTCTGAAAGGCTGGCCCCTTCCTCCGCTGCCCGCGCGGTGGCGCTTCCGGGGACTGCGTGGGCTGCGTGGGCTGGCGGTGGAGGTACCCGAGGGATTCGCAGAGACTCCGGGCCAGACGGAGTTCTTCTCCCAATTAGGAGCGTCTGATGCCAGCCTAAAGCTGTGTCTGTGGTCTGCGACTTGGTATTTGATTTGAGGAAAGTCATCTACCCTTCCCTGACCTCACCTCTTCCCCACCGTTTACTGCGTGCTCATCGTGGCAGATCTTTTAAGGCATCGTCTCATTTATTCCCTGCTACCCTGTAACAGCATAGCGAAGCACTGTTTGTTTTCCTACCACTAGTAGAGTAGATGTAAGTTGATGTGGAGGCAAGAGAACTGGGCTTGGAGCTAGAAGATCTAGGTTCAACTCCTAGTCTTGCCGCTTTCTAGCTTGGCCACCTTGGGCTAGTGTCAAAAGGTCTCCGTCTCTTTTCTCATGGGTACGGTGGGGGGACAATATACCTCCTTCAAGACTGTAGCGAGGATTGGATGAAGCCAGAGAGTGACGTTGTGAACGGAAGAGCCCATGGTAAAATGCTAAGTGTGTTCAGATAGAAAGAGGGATCACAAGGAGGACGCCCTCTCAGAATGCTTACAGTGTAGAAGGGATTTAGTGGGACACTGGCAGTGCTTTGTAAGAAGATGTAGCCCAGTAAGGACACTAGATCATATTTGTAGTGGAGGTGAGACATGAACATAACGAAATCCCTCGTTGAAAGAGTAGGAGCGAGGGCGCTGTTGGAGTCTGAAGGAGAAAAGGTGCTCTGGAAGGAGCCAGGGTGGGGATGGGGGCTTTTGCAGGAGGTGGTGTTGGATGGGGTCCATCCCACTCAAAATCTTCAATGTGCATAAAAACCACCCGAGGTCCTATCTCAAGCCTACTGAATTAGAATTTTGGGGACAGGTCCAGGAATCTACAATTCCTCCAAGCTTTCAAGAATATTCTGATGTCCGTGGCCCAGGAAACAGGCTTAGGCAAACACTGAGCCAGGGCTTTGAAGGATAAGGAAGAGCTCCTTTCTCTAGGTTTTAGTGACCCAAAGCTTGCCAGCTCAAAGCCTTTTCTCTGAGGAAGAGAAGAAAGCAAAGTGCTGCGGTGAAAGCTGCAGGTGGTTGGATTCTGGCAAAACAGGCTTTGAGTTTTGGCTTTGCCTTTTTCCAGCCATTTCATTTTAGACAAGTCACTTAGCCTCTCTGTGTCTTCATTTCCTTATCCTTAAAGTGAAGGAAATAATAGTATCAGTTTCAAGGCTGCTGTGAAGATCAAGTGAGATATTATTCCCTTGAAGCATTTAGCACAATGCTTGGCACGTGAAAGCATTCGGTAAATGTTATTAGGTTATTGTGAAAATTAGATGGGAAATATCACGAAAAACACCCAAACTAGGGTCTGGCTCATACTATGTACTCAAAAAATTTTTTTATCTGTTTCTATTATTAGAGAAAGTAGATGTCCCATGATGGGGGAAAGGTTTGGTCCCATAGTAGTATATGAGTGCTCACATACATGCACGAACGTGCGCGCATGCACACACACACACACACACACACACACACCCCAGTTTTGCTTACCTTCTATTTTCACTGTGACACAAAGATCTACTTCAGTTGAAGACTCTCTAGGTGACATTGAGCTGTTGACATCATCTTCTCTACCAAATTGGCTCCTGTGAATTCCCTGGGCACCCTTGCTGCAAAGCCTGGAGAATCATCTGGCAGGTCTCCCTCCTGGGGGCTGGACTTAGTCCGCCTGTCCAACCCAATAGCCCCCGCGTTCAGTCCAGGACATCAGTTTTAATTTGAACTTTGTCAACAGCCTTCTTCCTGACTGAAATCCACCCCCCTCTTTTTCCCTCCCCTTTCCTTCTTTCTCAGGCCTCCAGAATGATTGTTTTAAAAATGGTTTTATTTTTAAGTAATCTCTACACCCAACATGGGGCTCGAACTTAACAACCCTGAGATCAAGAGTCGCATGCTCTACTGACTGAGTCAGCCAGGCACCTCCAGAATGATTTTTTTTTAAAACAGATCAGATTTTGTCTTTCCTTTGCTTCAAGTCCTTATATGACTCCTCAATACTTAGGTAGATCCAGAAGCCACTGTTCTTTGTAGGACACTGTGAACTATGGATATGTAACTGAAAACTGTAAAAACCCAAAACAAGATGAAACTGTGATTCTGTGCTAACTCTGTCATTCTCTCACACAACTGACATGTGCTAAAGTCTTCAGAAAAGTGTATGGAGGAAAAGCACCTTAAAACAAAGAAAATTCTATTCATTGTAATGAAGTTACCTTCTTGCAAATTAGAAGAAGATGGCTATAGTTTTTTTTTTTTTTAATTTTTTTAAATGTTTTTATTTATTTCTAGGAGAGAGAGAGAGAGACAGCGCGAGCAGGGGAGGTCAGAGAGAGAGGGAGTCACAGACTGAAACAGGCTCCAGGCTCTGAGCTGGCAGTCAGCACAGAGCCTGACGCGGGGCTCGAACCCGAACCGCGAGATCATGACCTAAGCGAAAGTCGGACGCTTAACCGACTAAGCCACCCAGGCGCCCCTAAGATGGCTATAGTTTTAATTCAGTGGCAGAACCCCTCAGCTTGGCTTGAGGTGCACCTGTGTTTCCCCAGGGGCTAGCTGGAGAACCACTGATTGAGGGTCTCAAGTCCAATTTTCATGACCCTGTATTCAATACCCTTTGCACCCTGCGTCCGACACTGTTTTTATCTCTTGCTATAAGACTGTGCACAGCCAATGATCTAAGAGCACCCAATACCCACTGTTCCCAGCAATTCCATGTCTTGTGCCTTTATTCGGGTTGCTTCTTCTGCCTGAAATGCTCTTCCTGGCCTTGCTGACCTGGAAAACTCCAGGGTCAGATGTCATTTCTTTGATGTTGTTTTCCAACTTCCTAGGAAGTTGGAAACCTCTGCTGCCTTTGTGTTTTCTCTGAACTGGTGTTACGTCCTTTAGGACACAGTCCCTTATGTATTTACATGTCTGCTTTCCCCTACAGCCAACAGGCGGTCATGTTTGGTGCATCTCCATGACACCAGCACCCAATATGGGGCCTGACCCAGTATAGGTGTCATAAATATTCCATGAGTTGAAAGTCATTGAATTTCCTCACGGCCTGGCCCTGTCTGCAGTGCTGTCTCCTTTTCCCCTAGATTTGGGCAGGTCACTCCAGGCCACTTGTGGATTCTAGAAGTCTGTGATCTTTTTCAAGTGAAGCAGAATGTTCTCTTTTTAGCTGTCCACCTGTTGCTCGTGCTCTCCTTCTCCCTCCATGGCAGTCTCTGCTCTGTGGTCTTCTCCTGCACAAAGAGCAGAGGGATGTGGGATTGGTTAGGTGTAGGTTTGAGTCCTGGACCCACCATTTACTGGTTTTATGATTTTGGACAAATGCCTTATACTTTTGGAGCCTCAGTGTCCACATACAAAATTTAAAAAAAAGGAATCAGTGGTAAACTCCCATCATGAGGCTCTCTCAGGAGTCCTCTCTGCAAATAGCATCATCCTTGGCTGTTTGATCTATTCACTGGATTTCTCTCCTTGAGTTTCTTGCTCTGGCTGAAACTTTCCTGCCTCTCCCCTCTCCAGCATCTCTCTGTTTCTTCTCCATTGCCTTTTTCTTGCTTCTGTTTTTCTCCATGTGATTCTCTCTCTCTGTTTAGTTCTCTTGCCTTTCTCCTTGGCCCCTTCCCTAGCTCAGCATAGAGCTCATCAGGACTCATGAGAGAGAGGACTAACAGCTCCGCCTCCTCCAGGCCCTGGGCAACCTCACTTGTCCCACCCTCATTGAGGAGCCAGCCTGCAGTGGAAGCAATACACAGGTAGGGCCTAGGTAGACTTTAGACTCCTAGGCTCTGGCCTGGGTCACTGCCCAGTAGTTAGATCCATCTGCCCATGGGTCCCTGTCTCCACTTGGCTCATTGGAAGACTTTAAAAAAAAAAAAAGAACACTCCGGACTTTTTACTCTTCTATTTAATGCTTCAGTAGCTCCTTACTGCTCTTAGGATTTAATCCAAAGCCCCATAGTTTCTCGCATGACCTGCGGATCCTGCCAGTCTTTTCAGTTGCATCTGGCTCCCCTTCCCTCCCCCCTCCATTCTAGCCACACTGGCCAGGCTGTTCCTCACACGCACCAGCTCCCGCCTTTGCACAGGCTGGCCCCTCTGGCTGTGATGTTCCTCCCCACTGCCTTGATGGCTGCTTCTCTTACTTCTGGTCCCAGCTCAAATATCACTGCATCATTTCCTCAGGGAATGCCTCTCGGCTCCCCTTAACTCAAGTAGGATCCCCCCTACTTATTAATCACAGCATTCCTTCCGTTGTCTTTAGAGTGCACATCTCAGAGTAATTACGCATTTGTTTGCGTGTTTGCTGTTGGTCTTTTCCCGGAGAGTGTAAGTTTCACAAGGGCAAAGACCATGTCTGTATTCATTCATTTATCCATTCAGTATTTTTTGAGTGTCAATATGTTTTGAGCATCAACTACATGTCATACACGAAGCACTGAGATACCAGACAAAATCCTTGCCCTTAGGGAGCTCACGTTCTGGATGGGTATGTGGGAAAACAATGGTCATGTCACATGGTAGTTGCTCTATTTAAAACTGCAATAATCCCTTCCCTCCCCCCCCCCCCCCCCCCCCCCCCCCCCCCCCCCCGCTCTGTTTCTCCCGCTACCTCTCTGGCTATCTCTGTCTCATATACCAGAAGTAGTGGTTTATCACTGTCTCATGTACCAGAGAATTTGCTTGTTTGGCTGTTTATTGTTCTTGTTTTCCCACTGGAATGTAAGTTCTATGAGGGTAGGAATTTTTGTCTCTTTTATATTTCCACCTTGGCTTATCGGAATTGTTGCACAAATAAATCACTCTGGTATTTGTTAATTTGTTCCAGACGGGAGGCAGGTCTTAGCCTCCATTCAAGTTAAACCAGATGGCCTTGGGGCGCCTGGGTGGCTCAGTCAGTTGAGCGTCCGACTTCGGCTCAGGTCATGATCCTGAAGTCAGTCACAGAACCCAGGTCACAGTTTGTGGGTTCGAGCTCAGCGTCGGGCTCTGTGCTGACAGCTCAGAGCCTGGAGCCTGCTTCGGATTCTGTCTCCCTCTCTCTCTGCCCCTCCCCTGCTTGCTCTCGGTCTCTCTCTCTCAACATAAAGACATAAAAAAAAAAATGAAATAAAATAAACAGATGGCCTTGATTCATTTCCTGGTGCCACTACATAGTAATGCACAACCTTGGGAAAGTCACCCCTCTGGAATTCAATTTCCTCTACTGTGTAATAGGAATAATAAATAATAGTGGGGAGAATTAAATGAATCTATGTGGGTAAGGCACATGGAAGGTGCCTGGTCTTACATAGTAATGGACAACTAGTTTGTGGCCATTGTATAAGGGCCTGTACTGGGTAGAGGCTCAAATATATACTTAACCTTTGTAGCCAGAGGTATATCAGGACCAAGGAGAATTAGTGAGGGAGGTGGACTCCGTGGCATGAAAAGGAATAACTTTCTAAAAGCCAGCATTGGAAGGGGAAATAGATGAATTCCCTTCCATAGTTAGAGATTTCAACACCCCTCCATCAGAAATGGACGGAACCAGCAGGCAAAAAATCAGTAAGGACATAGTTGAGCTCACCATCAATCAAGTGGATATAATGGACATCCATAGACTACGCCATCCAACAACAGCAAAATACAGATTCCTCTCAATCTCACATGGGATATTCACCAAGATAGACCACATTCTGAGCCATAAAACACATCTTACCTTTAAAAGACTAGAATTCATAAATGTCCGCCCTCAGAGCGTAGTGGAATTAAACTAGAAATCAATAACAGAAAGGTAGCTTGAAAACCCTAAACAACTTGGAGATTAAATAGCACATGGATCAAAGAAGAAATGTTGAGGGAAAAAAAACATTTTAGACTCAATGAAAATGAAAACACAACTTCAAAAAATTTATGGATTGCAGCAAAAGCAGTGCTTAGAGGGAAATTTATAGCACTGAATGCATATATTACAAAGGAAGAACGACCTAAAATCATTCACCTAAGTTTCCACCTTAGGAAACCGAAAAAGAAGAGCGAATGAAATCCAAAGGAAGCAGAAGAAAAAAAAAATTAGAGCAGGAATCAGTGGACTTGAGAACAGGAGATCAAGAGAGAAGCTGGTTCTTTGGAAAGATCAATAAATCAATAAGCCTCTAGAAGAGTGAGGACAGAAATTACTAATAGGAGAAATGAAAGAGGGGGCATCACTACAGATCCCATGGATATTAAAAGGAAATTAAAGGAATGTTATGAACAACTTTAAAAGGCAACGTTTCCAAAGATTCAACCACCTGGTTTTGGTAGGTGATGAGCACCTTGTCCTTGGAAGTCTGCATGCATGTGCCTTTGGAGGGGCCTCGGTAAGGAGGGGGGATTCAAGCATCAGAAGGGACAGAGAAACAGGGTGTCTTTGGGTCCTCGAGAGCACTGTTACAGACTGTGGGCAGCGAGCGTGCTGGCTTGAGAATGTCGGTGCTGTGGGTGCAGAGGCGGGTGGTCCTCCACGTCCCAGACCTCCTAGAGGGGGCGCAAGCGTGGGGGAGGGGTGCGTCCGGGCCGCGGGAGACCTGACCGGCTGCGCGCGCGACTGCCAGCAGGGGGCGCCGCGAGACCGCGGAACCCGCGGAGGGGCCTGACGTCAGCGCCCCGCTTGTTTGGGCTCCCGCTCTGGACTCGGCGCCAGTCCCGCTCCGCGCCGCGCCGCTTCGCTCCGGCTCCGGCTCGCCTCGGGCTGGGCTCGGCTCGGGCACCGGCGGCGGCAACCCCGTGCCCGGCCCCGGGGCAGGCGGCGGGGCACCATGGCCCGTGCCCAGGCTCTCGTCCTGGCGCTCACCTTCCAGCTCTGCGCGCCGGAGACCGAGACTCCGGCAGGTAAGCGCGCGTCGGTCCGACCAAGCTTGCCCCGCGGAGCCCCCGGGGCCCGTGGCGTAGCTCTCAAGAAAGTGTAAGTGTTGGTGACCGAACGTTCCGAGCCTGCTCCTTGTGGTTGTCTGAGTCTTGGATGTGCGATCGGGTGCTCAGGGTGTTGTGTGTCTGCGAATGTTGTGTGTCCGTGAGTTATGTGTGCATGAAAAGGTGCTGTGCGTGTTGTGCGTCTGCGAGTGTGTTGGGGGTGAATGTTGTGTGCATCGAGGCACTGGGTGTGCACTGAGTGTCTTGTGTGCCTGCCAGTGTGTAGTGCTTGTGCGGCCAAGTAGGTTGTGTGTGTGCATCTGAGTTTGGTGGTGTGGCCGGAGTTGTATCTGCGAATGTGTTGCATTTGTTTGCATTTTGTATGCCTGGGCAGGGAGTGCTGCCTCTTGTATGTCCGCGAATGTGTTGTGTGTGTTATGCGTGTGACCGAGAGTGCTCTGTGGATTCTGCCCGCGTGTGGATCAGGGAACGCGTGTGCGGTGTGTGTGCTTGTGAGGTCCGTGTACGTGTGTGAAGGCGTGGGAACGGGTCCGGAACGTGTGTGTCCGTGCGCTTGTGCGCGATGTGTACGTGTGGGAGTGTCTGGGGTTGGTGGTGTGCGCCGCCGGGGGTTGCGTGGGTCCGAGTGCATGCCAAGTGTGCCGGGAATGCGCGTGTAGGAGCGAGTCTGGAGCGGATGTGAGTGTGTGTGTCTGTGCGTGCTGGCTGCGTGTCCAGGAATGTTGCGAGTGTGGTGCGCGCCTGGGCGGTGGCCGAGTGTGTGCCCGGGGCCGGGGGCCGCTCGAGGGGGCGGTGTCAGGATGTGTGTGTGTGTGTGTGTGTGTGTGTGCGCGCGCGCGCGCATATGTGTGTGTGTGTGTGTGTGTGTGTGGCGTGCGGGCCCCGAACAAGTTGTCGCGGCTGCGCCCCCTCCGCCCCGGGGTTGGGCCGGGCCTGAGGCTCGCGAGGGAGGAAGGGGGCCCCGCGGCCGCCGACTCCGACATGTCGGGCTGTTTGTTGTTTCGCAAGTTCTGCGCGGCGCTGGCGCTGGAGGCCGGGCCGCTGCGAGGCGGCGCCCGGGCCGCGGGGCGTCCGGGCCGGTGGCAGGGAGGGCCCGGCGCGGGAGGCGGTCGCCGGGGGCCGCGGGGCGCGCCGGGGCCGACGGGCGGGCGCTCCTGCGGGGCTCGGCCGCGGCCGCACCGGGCCGGCCGTGGAGGGGGGCGGCGCGCGGCCGGCGCTGTGGCCGGGCGGGGCTGCGACGTCCCGGCGCGGGCAGGGCCTGGCCCTCGGCCGCGGGACGGCGCCCCCTCCCGTGGCGCGCGGGGAGGCGCCGCGGACACCGGGGTCTCCCGGGACACTCCCTGGGTCGACTCTGCAACTTTGTGCGGCCTCCCCGCCGGCCCAGACCGCGGTGTGTGTGTGTACGTACGTATGTGAGCGTGTGTCTCGGTGCTTCTGCCCGCTGTGTGATCGCGGTGTGTGTGTGTGTGTGTGTGTGTGTGTGTGTGTACGCGCGCGCGCGCGCGCGTATCTGAATGTATGTATCCGGAGCTTGTGTCTGTGTGTCCGCGTGTGCTGTGGACCGTGTGTCGCCCGTGTGCGTGTGTCTGACTCGCCCCGCCCTCCCTGGGGCCTGGGATCCCAGACTGTGGCCCTCTCCCGCGGAGTTGTGTCCCACATGTCCCCTGGGGCATCCCTCTCCCGGCCTCATCCTGCCAGCCACCGTTTGGGTGGCTCCAGCCTGGTACCCAGGGCGCTGAGTAACGGGGAGACGCCCCAGCAGAGATCAGAGCCAAGGCACGTGCCGGGCCACCTCGGCCCCAGGGAGACTCCTCCTGGCCGCTGGCCTCCAAGAACTGGCCTCCCCGGGATAGGATCGAGGTTGGGCCTCTCCGGCGGAGCTCTTCTGGCTCCCGCCGCTGTTGCTCCTGCCTTTGGCTCCGAGCTGGGTCCTGGCTTCCTGAACCCCCTCAACCCCTCCCCCACCCTGAGATCAAACCGGAGGGATACTACCCGTTCCCCCAGCCTCTACCACCTTCCCCTTGATTCCAGGAGCCCTCCTGTGCCTTACCTCCTGCCAGCAGGGTGTGAGGGGTGATCAGGAACTGAAGTTTGGGATGAGAGTGAGACCTTGAGCAAGTTACTTCCATACTGGGGGTCTGCTTCCTCATCTGCCTTATCGGCATCCTAATAATGACGTGTGGTACTTGGTAGATGGTAAAGTAAGGCTCTGTGAGTGTCAGGGAATAAAACATGGTTTTGAGGACTGTTACAGAGCCCCAGAAACTGTGATTTGAAGCTAGGGGGACCTGATTCAAATTCTAAGTCTGCCACTTGCTGTCCTTGTGACCTTGGGCCAGTCACTTCACTTCTCAAGTTCTTGGGAGCCCTTGTAGCTATTACTGTTAGAGCTTCATTCATAAATGAACACTTTGTAGACGGGGTGCGATCTGCCCTTGCCCCCACCTGGGTAAAGTCAGCCCAACTCCCTGAATGCCTCCTGAGTCCCCTGCCCCACTGAGGGTGGGTGTGTGATGTCTCCCAGTCATGCAAATCTGGCAATAATTTATTCCTCTGTGTTCTAGCTCATTTTGTCCTTTTGGTTGTTGGGGTTGTGGACAGCAGGAATGAGGGAGAGGCTGCCCAGTGGTTTCAGGTTGGGCAATAAAGGCTTGTCTGAGCAGCTGGCTTTCTCCCTGGGGTGGGGGTGGGGGGATGGGGAGGAGACTCAGCAGGAGGTGGTGAGTATGTCCAGAGTGGGGGTGCTGAGCTCCTTGGCCGCCCCCTGCCCGGATCATGTTTCAGAGAAAATTCAGGGTCGGCACCTGCTTGCTTGAGGAATGCTGCCATCCTTCTATGCTTTCTCTGCTAAGCTAGACTTGTGGGGTGGCCATTTCGTGCAGGGGTGGGTTAGCTAGAGTTGCCTCGATTGTTCCAAAGTATTGTAATTATTGTAATTACAGTTTATTGGTCGCTTCTCCCATACAGACCATGAGCTCTGTGAGGACAGAGATTGGTTATTTAGCTCACCTCTGGATCCTTAGTGCCAGATACAAGTCCTGGGCCACCGTTGTCGAATGGCAAGAAAGAATGAGTGAGATCCAGTGGGTCAGGTTCTGAGCTGGAGAAGCCAGACGGGGGCGCACTGACTCCATTGAAAGTAGAGATTAAAGAACTAGGTTTTCCCTCCAGGAATCTGGAAAATTCTGCCGGGGGATGGTGTTGTGTGTGAAAAGGCCACGTAGAGAGTCCTCTGGGAGCTGTGAGTTGGGGAGGTTGAGGCCCTGGCAGAGACTGAAGGGAGCGGTCTCCTGCCTGCCAGCCCCTCCCCCCAGCTCCCAGCCCAGCCTCCCCTCCCCCCTCCCAGCAGCTGGCTGGGCCTGTCCAGCCCCCAGGCTCAGCCTTTGTGCTGGAGGCCTCAGCAGGTGGTGAGAAGCATCGAGTCCCAACCGTCAACTGAGCGTCTCAGGAGGGGGGAGGGCGGCCCGCATCAGGAGCGGGGGGACTCCCTCAGCTCTCTGTCCCACATGTAGGAGTGGGCAGATGGGGTCACAGCCTGTGTGTGTCTTGGCTGCTGGTGAGCTCCCGGGAAGGGAGGAGGGCTCCTCCTGGTGGTGACCCTGCAGGTGGGGATGCGAGAGGCTGGTGAGGTGTGTGCAGGTGTGACCCTGGCATCTGGGCAGAGTGGGGTGAAGTGAGGTGTGTGTGTGTGTGTGTGTGTGTGTGTGTGTGTGTGACTGTATGATTGTAGCCTGGGGCACAGAACATATGTGTGGCTTATCAGGGTGTCTAGCCATCTGGTCACCCTGTGTGGCAGGATCGGAGTTTGGAATATGGAGGTGACCAGCTACTTGGATCCCTGGAGAGCCCGCTGCTAGGGGGTCTTGATATCTAACTGTCAAATTCCTGGAGTTTGGGTGCACACCTATTTGGGTGGGTGGTATCTCATTATCTAGGTGTGGGTGTCCCAGCTCCAGGGTGTGGGAGGACCAGGGTGTTCCAACCTAAGGATGTCCCAGTGTCTCTGTGTCCAAAGGTAGGTATACTTGGGTGTCTGGCAGTTCTCAGGTTAATGGGTGTTCAAGTAAGGGGGCACCTCTGTGTTGTGTCCACGTGTGCAGCTGTGTCAGTACTTGGGTGGCTGGGTGTTGAGTTCCCAAGTACCTGGATATCAGAGTGTGGGGTATCTGTGCCCAGGAACGGGGTACCCATGCATTGGAGTATCTAGGTGTTTGTGAGTCTGGGTGTGGGGGTGCCCTGTGGTAGGTGTGTCTGCTTGTATGTTTAGGCGTGCATGTCTCCAGGAAAGGGGTGTGCATATGTTGGGTAGGGGGTGTCCTGGTGACTGTGTGCAGCTGTGGACCAGGGACCGAGGCTTGCCTCCCAATCTCCCTTCAGACCCCAAGGCCAGGAGTCTCTGGAGAAGGCTCTAGTGGTTCAGCTCCTCCATCGTTAATCTAGAGCTGACTTGCAATAGGACTTCTTACACCAGAACTCCTTACGGTGATGGAAATGTTTTCTACCCATACTTTCCAATATGGTGGCCACTTCCTCACATGTGGTTATTACATTTAAACGGGTTCAAATTCATGAAAATAGAAAACCAATCCCCTGGTCACACTTGGCAGACTCTCATGTTTCGCGTGGCTATCTATTAGTCGGTGCAGGTAGTGAACATTTCTATCAGAGCAGAAAGTTCCACGGACAGTGCTCTTCTGGAGGTGTGAGGCCCGGACGCCTCAGGGAGCAGAACTGGTCTGATTGAACCATCACTCAGCAGCCATCAAAGGTTTAGTTGAATCCATGGCCCCTTCCTCCCAGCCCATCATTTCGTGCCAGGACTGCTGCAGTAGCCCCCCTTCGTGGTCTCCCTTCTGCCATCAACTCCCCGGTGCTGTGGCAGCACGGGTGGCCTGAATGATCTCTGGCAGGCAGACAAAGGATGCTGCCACTCCCTTGCCCCAAGCCGAAGGGTCTCC